CCGTGTTCCGATAATCAGTCAATCAATCACACTGCTTAGTCGAATGCCTGTTCAAACAGCCAGGTCTTTACTTTCCTCCGGAATGCCAGCAAGGAGGGGGTTGATCTAATATCTGCAGGAAGGGCATTCCACAGCCGAGGGGCCACCACTGAGAAGGCCCTGTCTCTCGTCCCCGCCAGGCATGCTTGTGAAGCTGGCGGGATCGAGAGCAGGGCCTCCCCAGACGATCTTAATGTCCTAACTGGTTCATAGGAGGAGACGCATTCGGACAGGTAGCTCGGGCCAGAACCATTCAGGGCTTTAAAGGCTAAAGCCAGCACTTTGAATTGTGCCCGGTAGCAAATTGGCAGCCAGTGGAGCTGGCGCAGCAGTGGAGTGGTGTGCTCCCTGAGTGCCACTCCTGTTAGCATCCTGGCATGACCCACTCTACATCCTGCTGCAGTTTGGAGGAGGGTGGACCATGGATGATGGGACTTGCAGTACCTTCACTCACTTCCTGAAACCACTACGACCTTCATCCAATGACCAATAAAGACCAAACTTGGCATACAGAACCTCCATTGCCCACTTTCTTTAATAACCTGGGCGGTGCCGGGTCCCCAAGCTAGTAGTAAATAAAATAAAATAAACAAACAAATAAATGAAAACGTCCATCTTCCTTCACTTGGCCTTCCCTATGGTCCAGCTCTCGCATCCGTAGGTTACTACAGGGAATATCATTGCTTTAACTACGTGGATCTTCGTTGCCAGGAAGTGTGATGTCTTTACTATTTTATCGAGATTGGTCATTGTTTGTCGTTGTTTATTATTCATGGGCAGTATCTTTATATGGACTTTAATATTGGTATTTCTTGACTGATATAAGTAAATGCCTTCTCTTTCCAAATCCTGGGATCCGGAAAGAACCAGCTCATGCTTACCTTTACAGTTAAGGAGCAGCGTGATGATGGTTGATCTTGGGAGTGAATGACCATCATTTTCCCCACAAGGTTATCTCTTCCGGAATTGCCGAAAGGAGTCTTTCCAGAGCAAGAGCCACACACCCTTTCTGTTCTGCATCGGATGTCTTCACGGCAGTCTGAGTCAGGAATTTGACAAAAGAAGTAGCAGAACTGGCTGGGACGAGAATTACCGACAGGTGAAGATTCCCCTGAGTCACCACCAAAAGCAAAACAATGACCGAGTCCAGGAGGGGCATTCATTAAAGATTTCCCCTGACCCACTTCTATTGATCACAGGACCCTGAAACTGCACATGTGTCATGATATAAGTCTCTATAGATTATGTGCCAATGTACAACTCAGAACTGAGAACGGTCTTGATTTGACAGGTGCTAAAGTGGTGTGAGGTTTGAGAATACAATTCAGTCCTCAAGTTCCTTTACTCGAAAGTCCGCACACTAAAGGAGATGTTCGATGAGGTGAAAGAGGTTAATGGGGATGATTCCTCATCATATGACATAGTCAAGAACTGGGATAGTCCATTCAAATGTGGTTGGACTTTGGTGCAAACAACTCCAATTTCAGGGCGACCCCACTCTGCTCTTGATGAACACACTATCCAGCGAGTGGAAGTCGCCATTTTGGGAAATCGCTGTGTAACCATTCACCACCAAGTTCAAAATGTCAAGATGAGTGTGGGGTCTGTAGAAAAAATCATCCAAGACCATCTTCACATGCATAAGAGATCCGCTTGCTGGGTCCCTCGATTGCACATACCTTTCCAGAAGCAGGAACGAGTTGAATGCTCTCAGACCTTCTTGACAATGACGTGCCATGGAAACCAGGAGGACTTCCTCAACAGACTCATCACCCAGGATGACATCTGGGTCCGTCACTCTGATCCTGAGACTCAAGTCCAGTCGATGGAATGGAAGCATCAAGACTCACCGCCTCCAAAAAAGGCACGTGCTCAACTCTCATCAGGCAAGGTCATGCTCACAATATTTTGGGACCAGACTGAGTAGTGTTGATGGATTTCCTAGCAAAGGGGACCACGATCACTGGGGCAGAGTTGGCTTCACTGCTGCGGAAATGGCGAGAGGCCATCAAAACCAAGAGACAATGTGGCATGCTCCCCAAAGGTGTCTGCCTTCTGCAAGACCATGCACCTGTTCACAACTCACTTGTTGTCCAAATGGAAGAAGCATGCTCCTCTAGCTTTGACATTCTCCTGCATCCCTTATTCACCCAACCTCACACCATTGGACTTGGACCTCTTTCCAACAAGGAAGTTATTTTTGAACGCCAAGCGGGCTTGTTTATAAAGCTATTTCCGCTCCCTTGGCAGCCACCTCTCCACAAAAGTCAACATTGACACTGAAATGCAGCACCACCTGAGCTCTGCGAGTGTAGCATTCTTCCGAATGAAGCAGAGAGTGTTTGAGGACTGGGACATCCGTAGGGAGACCAAGGGGCTTGTTTACAAAGTTATGGTCCTCCCAACACTGCTGTACGCCTGCAAGATGTGGACGCTCTACAGGCGTCACATGCAACTCCTGGAACGATTCCATCAGTGCTGCCTCCGGAAAATCCTGCAAATCTCTTGGGAAGACAAGTGGGGAAACGTAAGCATGCTGGAAGAAGCAAYGACCARCAGCACTGAAGCGATYGTCCTCCGCCATCAACTCCGCTAGACCAGCKACGTTGTCCYTATGTCCGACCACCGTCTACCAAAGCAGTTGCTCTACTCCGAACTCAAGAATGGAAAACGGGATGTRGGTGGGCAGGAAAAGAGATTGAAAGACAGGCTCAAAGCCAACTTTAGAAACTCTGGCATAAACACTGAGAACTGGGAAGCCCTGGCCTGTGAACGCTCCAGCTGGAGGTCAGCTGTGACCAGCAGTGCTGTAGAATTTGAAGAGGCACAAATGGAGGGTGAAGGAGAGAAACATGCCAGGAGGAAGGTGCGTCAAGCCAACRGGGACCGCCTTCCACCTGGAGAACARTGCGGGAGAACATGCAGGTCAAGAATAGGGCTCCAGGGTCACCTATGGATCCACCACCAGGACACCAAATTTGGAAGACAATCCTACTCAGACAACGAGGGGTCGCCTAAGTAAGTAAGTAAGTATTAAAAATCAGAAGTCCGGGTCAATTCATTGTCACGAGTTGCTTAAGTCTTCTCTCTCTTGCTGCCATTCACTGGTCGAACGCTTGGTCCCATAGCCAAGTCTTAAGTTTCCTTCTAAAGGTCAGGAGGGAGGTGGTCAGTATGATGTCTCTGGGGAGAGTGTTCCACAGACCGGGGGGAAGGGGGGTCACTGCTGAGAAGGCCCTGTCCCTCATCCCCACCAGTCGCGTTTGCGATGGCAGTGGGATCGAGAGCAGGGCCTCTCCAAAGATCTTAAATTTCATGATGGCTGCTGAGTATTGGACTAGTTGAAGCTCCCGAGCAGTCTTCAAAGGCAGCCCCATGCAGAGTGCATTACAGTAGTCTATTCGGGATGTAACCAGAGTGTGTTTTGAGATTGTTTTTAAAGGAAACTGTCCAACTCTAGAGAGCGAGTGATGACACCAGGGGCCTTTTCCCTGCTGCAATCCCTTGTAGATAAGAGAGGACTTTATGGCTTTCCTAAAGTCTACAGCCGGATTGGTCTTGACCACCTTTTGGCCTTTTCACAATGAGCAAGCGCCAACTGGATTTGGGCAGCTGTGGGAGGGAGAACAAAGCACACGGGCACGTCAGAGAGCAGAGCCCTGGCCTAACTGGTTCCTCTGTGAAATCCCATGACATCTCTCCATGGGTTGGCTCAAGGAAGTGAGCACAAGCGTGGTGATTCCATCTCCAACTGAGCTGACCCATTCATTGGATTCCCCTGACCACTGCGGATAGTAAATACAACACAGAAGTTAGCACAGGGCTGGGGAACCACCCCAAGGTTACATGTGGTAGAATAAGAGAGTTGGAAGAGACCACATGGGCCATATAGTCCAGCTCCCTGCCATGAAGGAAAAGCACAATCAAAGCATCCCTGACAGATGGCCATCCAGCCATAATAATAGTAACAGTAATAGTAATAAGGCTCTGGCATAAACCAGTACAGGTGGTCCCAGTGGTCATTGGCACACTGGGTGCTGTGCCAAAAGATCTCAGTCGGCATTTGGAAATCCCTGATGGATGGCCATCCAACCATAATAATAATAATAATAATAATAATAATAATAATAATAATAATAATGGCCATATAGCCCGAAAAAACCCAGTGATTCCGGCCATGAAAGCCTTCGACAATACAACAACAACAACAACAACAATAGAGTTGGAAGAGACCACATGGGCCATCTAGTCCAGCTCCCTGCCATGCAGGAAAAGCACAAAGCACCCCTGACAGATGGCCACCCAACCTAACAATAATAATAATAATAACAACAACAATAACAACAACAATAGAGTTGGAAGAGATCACATGGGCCATCTAGTCCAACCCCCTGCCATGCAGAAAAGCACAATCAAGCACCCCTGACAGATGGCCATCCAGCCATAATAATAATAATCCTTCCTTTGCTCTTCACTCCTATGCTTCGTTCTCTCTTTCTGTCTTTCCTTCCTTCCTTCCTTCCCCCCCTCTCTTTCTTTCTTTCTCTTTCTTTCTTTCTTTCTTTTCCTTCCTTCCTTGCTTCCTTCCTTTTTCCCCTTCGCTTTTTTTCTGTATTGTCATTTAGCTTTTGGGGGTTTATAAGTCCTTTCCACTGTTTTTTTTTTGGGGGGGGGGTGTTATGAGTGATGGCCGCTCGTTGGTCTGTTAGGGGTACAGTGTCCACATTTTGTGTCAATTCGCCCAGTGTTTTTGGAGTTGTGTTAATCCCACAAACGAACATGACATTTTTATTGATATAGATTGATCCCGACCGACATGCGTCATGCGCTCCTTCCTGAGTGACTGAGAATAAGGCAGACTCGTGTCTCTAAACCTTCTCAAGTGTATTAAAAGTCGATTTGAAAAGTTGACCTCTTTGTGGCGGCATTGAGGAACAAAAAAAAAAGACGAGTTCATATAGTCACAAAGAGTCAGAAAGTCCCATCTGGACCCTCAATTGGGGGGGAGCTCCTTGGTCACAATCCGACCCATGAAGTAGACGTTGTAAATCTCCTTAATGTCTCCTTTCAGGGTCAAGATGGCCGACCCCGTCACAGGCTGGTTGGGCTGCAGGGACAAAAAGGAGACATTTTCATAAAGAACAGTGAGACAGCATTCTTTTCTTCTTCTTAAATGGATCTTTTATCTATATAAATGAAAATATGTTAATTTGTGGGATTAACAGAACTCAAAAACTACTGGGGGAACTGACCCCAAATTTGGACACAAGACACCTAACAACCCAATGTATGTCCTTCACTCCAAAAAAAAAAAATGATTCTCTCATTTGGGAGTTGTAGTTGCTGGGATTTATAGTTCACCTACAATCAAAGAGCATTCTGAACCCCATCAGTGATGGAATTGAACCAAACGTGGCACACAGGACTCCCCTGACCAACAGAGAACACTAGAAGGGTTTCGTGGGCATTGACCTTGAGTTTGGGAGTTGTAGTTCACCTACATCCCGAGAGCACTGTGGACTCAAACAATGATGGATCTGGACCAAACTTGGAACGAATGTTCCATATGCCCAAATATGAACACAGGTAGAGTTTGGGGGATATATATACACTGATATTTGAATCGTAATTGTTGTTGTTCATTCGTTCAGTCGTCTCCAACTCTTCGTGACCTCATGGACCAGCCCACGCCAGAGCTCCCTGTCGGCCGTTACCACCCCCAGCTCCCTCAAGGTCAGTCCAGTCACTTCAAGGATGCCATCCATCCACCTTGCCCTTGGTCGGCCCCTCTTCCTTTTGCCTTCCACTTTCCCCACCATCATTCCCTTCTCTAGGCTTTGCTGTCTCCTCATGATGTGGCCAAAGGACTTTATCTTGGCCTCTCATCTCCTTCCCTCCAGTGAGCTTTAGTCGGGCTTTCTTTCCTGGAGGATGGACTGGTTGGATCTTCTCGCAGTCCAAGGCACTCTCAGAATTTCCTCCAACACCACAGCTCAAAAGCATCTATCTTCCTTCGCTCAGCCTTCCTTATGGTCCAGCTCTCACATCCGTAGGTGACTACAGGGAATACCATGGCTTGGACTAGGCAATGGATCTTTGTTGCCAGTCTGATGTCTCTGCTCTTTACTATTTTATCGAGACTGGACATTGCTCTCCTCCCAAGAAGGAAGCGTCTTCTGATTTCCTGGCCACAGTCTGCATCTGCACTCATCTTTGCACCTAGAAATACAAAGTCTGTCACGGCCTCCGTTTCTCCCTCTATTTTCCAGTTGTCAATCATTCTTGTTGCCATCATCTTGGTTTTTTTGACGTTTAGCTGCAACCCGGCTTTTGCGCTTTCTTCTTTCACCTTGATTAGAAGGCTCCTCAGCTCCTCCTCGCTTTCGGCCATCAGAGTGGTGTCATCTGCATATCTGAGGTTGTGAATGTTTCTTCCAGCAATTTTCACCCCAGCTTTGCATTCATCCAGCCCCGCACATCGCATGATGTGTTCTGCGTAATTGTAATTACTGAGTTGTAATTACTGAGTTGTAATTACTGAGATTTATAGCTCACCTACAATCAAAGAGAATTCCGAACTCCACCAATAACGGCATTGAACTAAACGTGGCACACAGGACTCCCATGACCAACAGAAAACACTAGAAGGGTTTGGTGGGCATTGCCCTTGAGTTTGGGATTTGTAGTTCACCTACATCCAGAGTGCACTGTGGACTCAAACAATGATGGATCTGGACCAAACTTGGAACAAATTCCATATGCCCAAATATGAACACAGATGGAGTTTGTGGGATATAGACACTGACATTTGGGAGTTGTAGTTACTGGGATTTATAGTTCACCTACAATCAACGAGCATGCTGAATCCCACCAGCGATAGAATTGGGCTAAACTTACCACACAGAACCCCCATGACCAACAGGAAATACTTAAGGCCATCCAGTCCAACTCCCTTCACCAGGGCAACTCCCAAATAACAAAATCATTTTTTTGCGTGATGGTCATTTGTTGGCCTGATAGCTGTCTTGCGTCCAAATTTGGTATCATTTTGCCCAGTGGTTTTTGAGTTATGTTAATCCCAGAAACGAACATTACATTTTTATTTATATAGATGGCATATTTTACAGTTGTTAAGGTAAAAAACCTTAAATCTCCCAAAATCCTTCACCGACTGCTTTGAAATGTTGTTGCATGTGCTCAGACCGGGATCAATGGCAGGCAAAGCACTTGTCCCCTTCACCTAGAGATGACCCTTCCTCCTTCATCCTTAGAGAGAAAAGGCTTCTCTAACCATACATCCTTCAAACTGTGGCCGTGTGACACACCACAGCCATGAAGTGAACCCGGCAACCTACGTCGGAGCCAGCAGGGGGCACCCACGAGACACTGATCACTTTGGTTTGTCCACGCTCCACCGTTCCTTTCACCGGGTCCACCGTGAAGCCTTTCAGCTGGAGAATTTGCAAGCTTTCCCAACTGAATTCGACATTCTGGAGAAAACGAAAAGGGAATTACAGGATATCCCGCACCCCCTATAAGAGGAAGAACTTCATTAGATCCTCCAACCCAAATAACTTTTGTCCAGTTGTAATCGTCCTTTTTGAAATTAGATGGAAGCACAATTCCAGATTTTCTTGGACTAGGCTATTTGAATTTGGTTTCAGCAGGGCCGTAGCCAGAAAAAAAATTCGGGAGGGGTTGAAATTTTCGGGGGGGGGGGGGGGGAAAATTTTGGGGGGAGGGGGGGTTGAAACCTGCCTCCTAGCTCACGCTGAAGCAAAGAGCACAGCAGGGGGCACAGCAGCCTTCCATAGCCTGCAGCTCCGCCCTTGTCAACCACCTCCACCAAGTCTGGCCTCCTTAATGAGAGCATTCAACATCCGCACCCCCAACTTGGTTGCTTCTACTGTTTCTTCACTACTGTTCTGTCGCGGGCTGGGCCTGTAAATAATTGTCTTTAGAACAGGATGTGCAACCTTTGCCCAGCGGGAAGCCAGGGGGCCTAAAGAGAAGTTCTCAGAGGTTTCCACCACAAACAGTCTTTAGATGGCTTGAGAAGTACAACAAAGTCTTTTATTCATGTTTTATCAAACAGAAACTTCTCTTGTCTTCAGTAAAGTTAAGCAAATGATTCCAAGCTTTTAGGCAACTGGTGAATTCCTAATCTTGCCCACGAAGAACAGGCAACTGTCTTCTTTAAAGGAAAATCCCCTTTTTAACTTCTCCCAGGCTGACTGTAATCTAACCCTTACTGATGTGGGCTCCGCTACCGGGTCGAACTGCGTCTCGAACGCCGAGTGGACTTACCAGCAAGGCAGTAGATGTTCTCCAGCTGGAGTTCTTTGGTCTTTAGGGCTGTTTTCCTGGAAATTCTTTGGAGACTCTTAAGACCTTACTCCCCCGGAAAGGTCTTAAGGGTTGAAGCTTTTGTACAGGGGAAGCTTGCACACATCCTATACATAAGCTTCCTTGCTGAGACTAACTAAAAATGGCTCCCTTCCCTTCCCAATTGCCCTGAGCAAGGGGCGGGACCAAAACTTAACAATGATGAACAGGTGACTTGCCCTATGACTGCAACCAAAGAAGCCACCTATCTGCAGAGTCCCTGAAACCTAGGACTGCAAGCAAACATTTAATACAAAGCAAATAAAGTTGGAGCTCCTGGTACAGCTGTACCAGAACAACTACATCGGCTATTGCTGCAAGTAATGACAGTGTGAATAAATTGCTAATATTTGCTTGAGATAGTGCTTGCAGTTCTGGAGGGACTCTTGATTTTTTGCATCTCATAGACTTAGCATGGGGATTGGGTTAACCAGTTAAAATTCATGAGTAAACCAGGTTTTTTAAAAAAAATCTGAAACATTTCGGGGGGGGGGGGTGAACCCCTAACCCCCCCCCCTTCGCTACAGGCCTGGGTTTCAGCCTCAATTGATGGCTATTTCTGAGCCCGAAGAATCAGATTCATAGGGTTGGAAGAGACCCCAAAGACCTGTTGGGCTTACCCTCCTCATTAATGTACAGCATAGTAAATTATTAGTAGCGGCGTGACCCAGCGCCAGTAGCCCAAAGTGATAAAAAGAACAAAAACACACAGACCAATGTTATCTCTTCCATTGGTTTGCATAACACAAATAAAGTTCAGCCTTCACACTGGAGCTTCTCATACCAAGGCCTACCTCACACTCTGAGGCCTACTAACACTGAGATCTATTCTCCCCCTGAGGCATTCTCTCACACAGGCTTCCCTCAGACTAAGGCCTACCTTTTCTTCGTAGCAAAATAATATAGTTGCACAAACTTTCCATAACACAAATAAAGTTCTTTCTACTTCCTTCTTTGCTTCCTCACTGGGCTTCTTTCTCATGCAGATAAACAGCTTCGTTCTCACAGAACCTCTTCTCACACAGAAATTACACAGGAAAGCCTTCACACAGTAGCTTTTTACACTTCACGCTGGAGCTTCACACACAATGGCCTACTCACACTTCTCACACTGAGGCTTCAATCTGGGGCTTCTCTCACTGAAGCTTCTCACACCACGCCTACTCATACTGAGGCCTACTAATACTGAGGTCTTTCTCTCACTGAGGTCTTCTCACACTGAGGCCATTCTCCCACTGAGGCCTTCTCACACTGAGGGCTCTCTCTTAAATCTGGTGTCCTCTGCCAGGCCTCTCGGGAGGTGGAGAGCTTCATATTTAGTGGTAGGAACAGCTGGAAAGCGACTGTGCCTCTTCCTACTGCGGCCCCTTATCACTTCTCCCCCTTTGTCACGATCCCAGGACATATTCCGCTTGACGAATGTGAGGCTTCCCAGCCAGTCAAGGGCTACTGCAAGTGGTTTAGAAACCTCTCTTTGGGTGAGGGTACCTTCTTGGACGCAAACTGGGTGGTGCGTATGACTCCCACTTTCAGCTCCCGCACAGCCGGGATGACAAAGGTCTCGGACTGCACAGACTCCAGGCTGACCAGGATAGAATTGGTGGCTTTGTCGCTTTCTGTGAGGAAGAACATAGATGGGTGGGTGGTAAGGGAAGGAAGGAAGGAAGGAAGGAAGGAAGGAAGGAAGGAAGGAAAAAGAAAGGAGGAGGGAAGGAAGGAAGGAGAAAAAGGAGGAGGGAAGGAAGGAAGAAGAAAGAGGGAGAAGGAAGAGGAAAGAAAGGAAGGAGGGAAGGAGAAAAAAGAAAGAGGGAGAGGGAGGGGGAGAGGGAAGGAGGAGAAGGAAGAAGGAAAAAAAGGAAGGAGGAGGGAAGGAAGGAGGAAAAAGAAAGGAGGAGAAGGAAGGAAGGAAAAAGAAAGGGGAGAAAGGAAGAAAGAAAAGAAAGGAGGGAGGGAGAGGAAAGAGGAGGAGAAAAAGAGGAGGGGAAGAGGAGGAAGAAGAAAAGAGGGAGGAGGAAGGAGGAGAAGAAAAGGGAGAGGGAGAAGGAAGGAAGAAGAAAGGAAGGAAGGAAAAAAGAAAGGAGGGAGGGAGGGAAGGAAGGAAAGAAAAAGAAAGGAGGAGAAAGGAAGAAAGGAAAAAGAAAGGAGGGAGGGAAGGAAGGAAGGAAGGAGAAAAAGGAGGAGGGGAAGGGAAGGAAGAAGAAAAGAGGAGGAGAAGGAGGGAAGAAGGAGGAGGAGAGAAGGAAGGAAGGAAGGAAGGAAGAAGGAAGGAGGAAAAGAAAGGAGGGAGGGAGGGAGGAAGGAAAAAGAGAAAGGAGGAAGGAAGAAAGGAGAAAGAAGGAGGAAGAAGGAAGAAAAGGAGGAGGAAGGAAGGAAGAAGGAAGGAAGGAGAAGAGAAGGAAGAAGAAGAAGAAAGAGGGAGGGAGGAAGGAAAGAAAGGAGGAGGAGGGAGGGAGGAGGGAAAGGAAGGAGGAGAAGGAAGGGAAGAAGAGGAAGGAAGGAGGAAGGAAAAAGAAGAGGGAGGAGGGAAGGAAAGAAGAAGAAAGGGGGAGAAAGGAAGAAAGAAGAAAGGAGGGAGGAAGAGAAGGAAGAGAAAAAGGAGAGGGAAGGAGGAGGAAGGAAGGAAGGAAGGAGGAAGGGAAGGAAGGAGGAAAGAAAAGGGGGAGAAGAAGGAAAGAAAGGAGGGAGGGAGGAGGAGGAAGGAGGAAGGAGGGGAAGGAAGGAAGGAAGAAGAAAAGAGGGAGGGAGGAGGAAGGAGAAAGAAAGGAGGAGGAGGGAGGGAGGGGGGAGGAGGAGGAGGAAGGAAGGAAGAAGGAAGGCAGGAAGGAAGGAAGGAAGGAAGGAAGAGGAAGGAGAAAAAGAAAGGAGGAAAGGAAGGAGGAAGACTGTGCACGATGACCTGCTTTGGCAGTTTCTTCAGCAACAGATGTTGTCACCGCCAGTGACTCAATGGGCACATCCAATGGTTCTCCGCCTTCCACAAACATCATATGGTTCCTGGCTGCGCCTTTCAGCTGGATCACACGGATGACTTCCTGGAAGAGTTCAAAGCAGCCCCCTTTTACCCTGACCCCTCGCAATGGCATTCCTCACCTAAGGAAACCTGGGTGGAATTCTTGGGCCTTGCTATAAGCTGACATGCACATCAATACTCAAGGCACCCTAGGCAAGCGTGGCATGCTCCCCACGGGTTTGAAAGCGTCCAGGTCCTCACCTTGTCAAAGAGCAGGACTTGGACACAGTCGGAGTAATACAGGCTCTCGTGGTCAGGGCTGAAGGTGACCGTGAACTCCTGGAACTTCCCCACGCCAATGATTCCTTCCACAGGAGAGACGGTGAACACGCTCAAGCCGCTGTAGTTTTGGGTACCTGGCAAAGGAAGGGGGACAGATATACCTGGTGGGAGGTGTGTGAGAGGCAGAAAGGCCACAAAGAAAGAAAGAAGGAAGGAAGGTCTCCAAACGGTCTGCAGTAGGAGAAAGAGATTCAGCATGGCCACGGATATCTATCTAAATAAAAATGGAATGTTAGTTAGTGGGATTAACAGAACTCAAAAACCACTGAACGAATTGACACCAAATTTGGACACAAGACACCTACTACTCCAAGGAGTGACCGTCACTCAAACAAATGGATTTTGTCCTTTGGGAGTTGTAGTTGCTGGTGATTTATAGTTTACCTACAATCAAGGAGCATTCTGAACTCCATCAATGATGGAATTGAACCGAACATGGCACACAAAACTCCCACGACCAACAGAAAACACTAGAAGGGTTGGTGGGCATTGACCTTGAGTTTGGGTGTTGTAGTTCACCTCCATCCATGAAGCACTGTGGACTCAAACAATGATGGATCTGGACCAAGCTTGGCATGAATATTCCATATGCCCAAAATATGAACACAAATGGAGTTTGGGGAAAATAGACCTCAAAATTTGGGAGTTGTAGTTACTGCAATGTATAGTTCACCTACAATCAAAGAGCATTCTGAACTCCACCAATGATGGAATTCAACCAAACATGGCATACAGGACTTCCATGACCAACAGAAAATACTGGAAGGGTTTGGTGGGCATTGACCTTGAGTTTGGGAGTTGTAGTTCACCTACTTCCAGAAAGCACTGTGGACTCAAACAATGATGGATCAGGACCAAACTTGGCACAAGCACTCAATACGCCCAAATATGATCACAGATGGTGTTTGGGGGAAATAGACCTTGACATTTGGGAGTTGTAGTTACAGGGACTTATAGTTCACCTACAATCAAAGAGCATGCTGAACCCCATCATCGACTGATTTGGGGCAAACTTCCCACACAGAACCCCCATGACCAATAGAAAATCCTTAAGGCCATCCAGTCCAACTCCATTCACCAGGGCAAGAAAATCAAAGCCCTCCTGACAAAGAGCCATCCAGCCATAGATATAGATACCGTATATTCCGGCATATAAGACGACTGGGCATATAAGACGACCCCCAACTTTTCCAGTTAAAATATAGAGTTAAGACGACTCCCATGCATAAGACTACACCCACGTATAAGACGACCTCTGACTTTTGAGAAGATTTTCTTGGGTGAAAAAGTAGTCTTATACGCCAGAATATACTGTATATATGATTCATACATACAGATATAGTATCATAGATTTGAAAGGGACCCCTAAAGATGGACAATTATATGTTGAATGTTCCAGAGTAGGCAAACCAGACAATCTACACATCAACACTGTCAACAAAACAGTAAGATATATCATTTACCCACAAGCAGAAAGAAATTATATATATTAGAAACCAACACTTTCTCATTACTTTATTTTCCAGATCAACAGACTGGGCCACAGCAACGCCTGGCAGGGGACAACTAGATAATAATAATAATAATAATAATAATAATAATAATAATAATAATAATAGAAATTATTTACCAACTAGGTTTGTTTTGCCCTGAGATATGAGGAAAGGGGGAAGCTCCTGAAGATCCTCGTCTCTGTTTGGGGAGAGAGACTCCAGGACGATATTGTATTTCAGGGGCAGCGTTGACGTGTTCTCGATCTGCAAGAGAGACCCGTCACCCAGCAGGAAAATCAGATGTTATGTCACTCTCAATGTCTTTCTTAACCTCCCACCCCCAGACGGATCGTAAAATGAATACAGTAAAATTCAAAATGAAAAAGTATACAAAACACTAAAATAGCTCGTTCAAATGGTTGCTGTGAATAACAATAATAATAATTATCATCATCATCATCATCATCATCATCATCTATCTATACACATAATAATCTATATAAATAAAATGTCATGTTCGTTTGTGGAATTAACAGAACTCAAAAACCACTGGACGAATTGACACCAAGTTTGGACAGAAGACACCTAACAACCCAATGTATGTCCTTCACTCAAAAAAATTGATTTTGTCATTTGGGAGTTGTAGTTGCTGGGATTTATAGTTCACCTGCAATCAAAGAGCATTCTGAACCTCACCAATGATGGAATTGAGCCAAACTTGGCACACAGTTCTCCCATGACCAACAGAAAATACTGGAAGGGTTTGGTGGGCAGTTGTAAGACTGTAGGATCTATATAGCAATATTAAATGACCACTCACAAGCCGATTTTGCTTCGAAATGGATATATTACATGTCTCTCTGCAGCAAAGAAAGACACTACTGACTTTTTCCCACCACTACTTCCTTTTATACACCTTTGGTTTTGGAGTTGTAGTTCACCTACATCCAGAGAGCACTGTGGACTCAAACAATGATGGATCGGGACCAAACTCTACACGAATACTCAATATACCCAAATGTGAACACTGGTGGAGTTTGGGGAAAATAGAATCTTGACATTTGGGAGTTGTAGTTGCTGGGATTTATAGTTCACCTACAATCACAGAGCATTCTACACCACCAACTATAGAATTGGGCCAAACCTCCCACACAGAACCCCCATATGGGCCACAGCAACACCTGGCAGGGGACGGCTAATAAAAATAATAATAATAATAATAATTTATTTATTTATTTAATACCCATCTCTATTTAAGGCCCCTGATTTTGGGTGATGGTTTACCTTGAAGGTGTTAGTGGCAGTTTCTTTGCTCACAACGTATCCCATGTCAAACACATCCTCTACTGAACACGCAATGGAGATGATCACCCCTCGGCCAGTCAAGGTGAGAGTCAGGGTCGCTTTCTCGCTCCGGAGCTCCAGAGTTTCAAAGAACTGTGGGAGAAACCTTCTTGGTCAGTTAAGAATCCACACAAGGAGAGAACCCAATGGTCCCAGGCTTCGTGGGAAATGTATGGGGATGAATAAAGCCAGGCTGGCTCCATGCTTTTCAACATCTACATGAAACCGCTGGGAGAAGTCATCTCTATGAAGATGACACGCAACTCTATTACTCTTTTCCACCCAACTCCAAGGAAGCCCCTTGGGTGCTGGACGAGTGCCTGGCCGCTGTGTCTATCTGGATGAGGTTGAACAAGCTGAAGATCAATCCTGACAAGACAGAGGTCCTTCTGGTCAATTGTAAACCAGATCGGGGTATAGGGTGGCAACCTGTGCTGGATGGGGTTGCACTCCCCCTGAAGTCACAGGTCCGCAGTCTGGGTGTCCTCCTGGACTCATCACTTACGCTTGAAGCTCAGGCGTCGGTGGTGGCCGGGAGGGCCTTCGCACAATTAAGACTCGTGCCTGCGACCGTACCTCGTGAAGGCGGATCTGGCCAGGGTGGTCCATGCCTTAGTCACCTCCAGATTGGACTACTGTAATGCACTCTACATGGGGCTGCCCTTGAAAACGGGCCGGAAATTTCAATTGGTCCAACGGGAGGCAGCCAGGTTGTTAACTGGTGCTTCTTACAGGGAGCGGTCAACCCTCCTGTTTAAGGAGCTCCACTGGCTGCCATTCATTTTCCAGTCCCAATTCAAGGTGCAGGTTCTTACCTACAAAGCCCTGAACGTTGGGACCCGCCTACCTGTGTGACCGCATCTCTGTATACAAACCCACACGATCTCTTCAATCATCTGGAGTGGCCCTGCTCACGCTCCCACCTGCATCGCAAGCACGATTGGTGGGGACGAGAGAGAGGGCCTTCTCGGTGGTGGCACCCCGACTCTGGAACTCACTTCCCAGGGACATTAGACATGCCCCAACTCTGGTAGTCTTTAGGAGGAGCCTGAAAACGTGGTCGTTCCAGTGTGCCTTCCCAGAATAAGGAGAATTCTCAGCAATATGCCCTCATCATACACTTTAATACTAACTTAGGATGGACTGCGTTCCCTCGTTTCTCTCTGAAAAATCCTATCCCAATTATATTTTACCTGTTCACGTCAGCATATTTTCAATTTTAATCTATTACATTTGGCCCAGCCATTTTTAAAATTGTTTATATGTCACTATTGATTGTTGTTTTTTTGTTTATGTGATTTATATGATTTGTATTTTATTGACTTTTTTTATTAATGTTGTGTTACAGAAGTTTTGTTTGATGTATTGTGGGCTTGGCCTCATGTAAGCCGCACCGAGTCCCTTGGGGAGATGGTAGCGGGGTACAAATAAAGATTATTATTATTATTATTATTATTATTATTATTATTATTATTATTATGGACTTCTGGTCGGCAGACAGGCACACACAGTTCTACAGGGTTGTAAAACTGTAAAACTCTTCTGGAATCACACTGTGTCCAGTTCTGGGCATTGGAACTGAAGGGAGATGTTTATGCTGGAATGTGTCCAGAGGAGGGCGGCTCTAAGGATCAAGGGTCTGGAGAGCAAGCCCTATGAGGAGTGGTTTAAAGAGCTGGGCATGTTTACCCTGCGGAATAATCCAATAATATAATATAATATAAATAATAATAATAATAATAATAATAATAATATAATAATAATAATAATAATAATAATAATAATAATAATAATATATTATAATATAATACAATATAATGGTATAGTGCAATATAGTAATATATAATACCGGTATTGTACTATGCTAATAATATAATACATTGTATGAAAATATATCTTGTAAGCTGCTCTGAGTCCCTTTCAGGGTGAGAAGGGCGGCATAGAAATGCCGTAAATAAATAACTATAAATAATAAATAAGGCTGAGAGGAGACATGAGGAGGACCATGGATCAAGATCTGAGGGGAAGTCACAGGGAGGAGAAAGCTTGTTTTCTGCTTCCCTGGAGACTAGGACAGGAACAATGGCTTCAAACTACAAGAAAGGAGATTCCATCTGAACATGAGGAAGAACTTCCTGACTGTGAGAGCCGTTCAGCAGTGGAACTCTCTGCCCTGGAGTGTGGTGGAGGCTCCTTCTTTGGAAGCTTGTAAACAGAGGCTGGATGGCCATCTGTCAGGGGTGATTTGAATGCAATATTCCTGCTTCTTGGCAGAATGGGGTTGGACTGGATGGCCCATGAGGTCTCTTCCAACTCTTCGATTCTATGATTCTAGGTGAAATACAGGTTTCTAACAATACAGGTGAAAAAGTTTATCCAAGATCTTCAAATAATAGATGGAAGTCCTACTATGAATTTTTTTTTGAAAACACTAGAAGGGTTTGGCGGGCATTGACCTTGAGTTTGGGAGTTGTAGTTCACCTACATCCAGAGAGCACTGTGGACTCAAACAATGATGGATCTGGACCAAACTTGGCACAAAATTTCCATATGCCTAAATATGAACACAGATGGAGTTTGGGGAAAATAGACCTTGACAATTGGGAGTTGTAGTTGCTGGAATTTATAGTTCACCTACAATCAAAGAGCATTCTGAACTCCACCAATGATGGAATTGAACCAAACTTGGCACACAGGACTTCCATGACCAACAGAAAACACTAGAAGGGTTTGGTGGGCATTGACCTTGAGTTTGGGATTTGTAGTTCACCTACATCCAGAGAGCACTGTGAACTCAAACAATTATTATTCAATACATGACAAGATTGATATACAGCAAACAAGATCACTATGCCGGCTTTTGTATTTGATCACACATCGAACACCTCCCAAGTGTCTAGGACTGTGTGATGCATCGGCAAATAATGCATGCAGATTCTCTTGCAGCTGACAGGTGGTAATTTTGTCAGTGCTGATTGTTTTTAAGTGCAGGCCAAGGTCTTTAGGCACTGCACCCAGTGTGCCGATCACTACTGGGACCACCTTGACTGGCTTCTGCCAGTCTTTACAGTTCGATCTTTAAATCCTCATATTGTTGTGGTTGTTGTTGTTATTGTTAATGTAAGATTAGTGTAATGTGAATGTTTAAATGTAATTTTGTGCAATGCTTGATAATGTAACCTGATTGCATTAGCAGAGAGTGTATTGACACTGAAAGGGTTAATCAGTCAAGCCTCTAATGAACTGTGAAGATGTGACCCTGAGTGTGCCTGGAATGCGTAGGGAGGATCCAGAGATAAGATTTCGTTCGTCCTTCTTACTTCGGTGTGTCTTTTGTCTTGTTCCTGTCTGTTTGGTTGGATGTAAATACAAATGTGTGCAGCATATTTGCTCTACTCAGTAAAGCTAAATGTTTGCTTTTCCTGAAGTCTCAAAGTGTCCATTCTTCTAAGCTTCAAAGCTTCTGTCGCACTCTGACAAGCTGGAATGTGTCCAGAGGAGGGCGACTAAAATGATCAAGGGTCTGGAGAACAGCCCTATGAGGAGCGGCTTAGGGAACTGGGCATGTTTAGCCTGAAGAAGAGAAGGCTGAGAGGAGATATGATAGCCATGTATAAATATGTGAGAGGAAGCCACAGGGAGGAGGGAGCAAGCTTGTTTTCTGCTTCCTTGGAGACTAGGACGTAGAACAATGGCTTCAAACTACAAGAGAGGAGATTCCATCTGAACATTAGGAAGAACTTCCTGACTGTGAGAGCCGTTCAGCAGTGGAACTCTCTGCCCCGGAGTGTGGTGGAGGCTCTTTCTTTGGAAGCTTTTAAGCAGAGGCTGGATGGCCATCTGTCAGGGGTGATTTGAATGCAATATTCCTGCTTCTTGGCAGGGGGTTGGACTGGATGGCCCATGAGGTCTCTTCCAACTCTTTGAATCTAGGATTCTATGATTCTATGAATATTACTATATAGTTACTCACTGACTTATTCTCCTCAGGGCAGAACGTGAGCACGAGGTCCCGGGATTCCCCTTCCTCTAGCATGCAGATGGGATTCGCCAACAGGAATGGTCCAAAGGGATCCAGGAGGGAATACTGTAGCTGAAATTAGCAACTCAAGGAAAATGAACGTTTCGTGGTAACCAAAGAAACCATTTCCCAAAAAAAGAAATGTTACCTAGAGACAATGGCAGAAATGCACAAGAAACACATGATTTCAGGACTTCCTCCAGTACCTTTCAGTTTCCGCTCTGCTTTATTATCTGCAAGAGCACAACATTAGCATTGCTCTGGGATAGTGTCCGAACAGATGCAAGCAAGATGCCTTGGGCTTTAATGTATTGTCGAAGGCTGCCATGGCCGGAATCACTGGGTTGTTGTAGGTTTTTTAGGGCTATATGGTCCTGTTTCTAATCTGCCATTCTTAGGTAAGGTGATAGAGCGGGCTGCACTGGGACAATTGCAACAATTCCTGGATGACACAGCCGGCCTGGACCCTTTCCAGTCAGGTTTCCGCCCTGGCCATGGGACGGAGACAGTCTTGGTTGCCATTACGGATGAACTCCGTCGCCAGTCTGACAACGGTGGATCCGTGCTACTGCTACTTCTCGACCTTACCGCAGCGTTTGACACCGTCGACTACGATCTAATGATCCACCGTCTTGCCATGTCTGGAGTTCGCGGTCAGGCCCTCAACTGGTTCGACTCATTTCTCTGAAACCGGAGTCAATGCGTGGAGTATATGGACCAAGTCTCCGATAGATCCCCCCTCCTATGTGGGGTCCCCCAAGGTGCAATTCTCCCCCCTCCCTTCTCTTCAACATCTACGTTAGACCCCTTGCTAGCTTGGTCTGGAGTTTTGGCCTGGAATGCGAACAATATGCGGACGTTACCCAACTCCTTCTGCACCTGGAGCCTGGAGCAACGTCAGTTCCAGACAATTTCACCCAATATGTAGTCCAGGTGAAAACCAAAAACAGTAACAGTTTAATAATAATAATAATAATAATAATAATAATAATAATAATAATAATATAAAAACTAGTCAAAAGGAGAGAGGTTCCATAACTGCTGCATAAGTGGCGGATGAAAAGAACTGAGGCGGTGGCTCCACCCACCTGCTACTTATACTCGCAAGGGGAGAGTGGGCATGGCCAACCACCAAGTTTTTCAAATCTATCTAGAAGGTTCCGAAGCTGTCTGCTCAGGCGCAGAAACTACCACATGTGCGATTCACAGGGATCACGATGAGAAACCTCAGCCATCTTGACCGGACTCTGATGCTATTTGTCTACATAAGTTTTCATCTGTGAAATATTGGAGGCGATGTGATTCCACGTAAGGATACAACCAGCTGTTCTTGGGAGATGTTCTGTATCTTGACTTCTTTCTTAATCCTGTGCCCTAAATCAAGAAGAGAATCCCATAGGTTCAAAGACCAAGCATGTAATAAAGTCAGCAAAAAACAATAGCATAGACCTGTGGTTCTCAACCTTCCTAATGCTGTGACCCCTGAATACCGTCCCTCATGTTGTGGTGACCCTCAAACCATTACATTATTTTCATTGCTACATCACAACTGTCATTTTGCTACTGTTATGAATCGTCATGTAAGGCCTTCTCACAAATGCCCTCCCTCACACAGAGGCTTCTCTCACAGACTAAGACAGTGGTTCTCAGCCTTTCTAATGCCATGACCCCTTAATACAGCTCCTAATGTTGTGCTGACCCCCAACAATAACATTATTTTCATTGCTACATCACAACTGTCATTTTGCTGTTCGCTTCTCACACTCTGAGGCCTTCTCACAGACGCCCTACCTCACACAGAGGCTTCTCTCATAGTCTAAGGTCTACCTCACACTCTGAGGCCATCTCACAGACGCCCTACCTAACACAGAGGCTTCTCTCACAGTCTTAAGGCCTACAAMACACTGTTAGGCCTTCTCTCACAGACTAAGACAGTGGTTCTCAACCTTTCTAATGCCACGACCCATTACTACAGCTCCTCATGTTGTGCTGACCCCCAACMAAAACATTATTTTCATTGCTACATCACAACTGTCATTTAGCTACTGTTATGAATCCTCATGTAAGGCCTTCTCACAGACGCCCTACCTCACACAGAGGCTTCTCTCACAGCCTAAGGCCTACCTCACACTGTGAGGCCTTCTCTCACAGACTAAGACAATGGTTCTCATCCTTTCTAATGCCGCGACCCCTTAATACAGCTCCTCATGTTGTGCTGACCCCCAACCATAACATTATTTTCATTGCTACATCACAACTGTCATTTTGCTACTGTTATGAAACGCCATGTAAGACCTTCTCACAGACGTTCTACCTCACACAGAGGCTTCTCTCACAATCTAAGTCCTACCTCACACTGTGAGGCCTTCTCTCACAGACTAAGACAGTGGTTCTCAACCTTTCTAATGCCGCGACCCCTTAATACAGTTCCTCATGTTGTGGTGACCCCCAACCATAACATTATTTTCGTTGCAACTTCATAACTGTCGTTTTGCTACTGGTATGAAACGTCATGTAAATATCGGATATGTAGGATGTATTTTCATTTACTGGACCAAATTTGGCACAAATACCGAATATGCCCACATTTGAATAAGCCTTGCAAAAAGTGCCTACCTACGGCAACATCCCCAAAATTGAAGAAAGTCCTTCCGTTGTTTGAAGTGACCACTACCACGGGGGCCACCGAAGGGCAGTGCAGTTCTAAATACAAGGTGTTATAAGGGCTGTGGACACAAAGGAATGGAAAGTCATGATACAAAGCAACATACAGAACCAACACCAGGGAAGATCCCCGCTCTGCCCCCGTACACCACCTAAAGTGCAGATTTTCGGCTCCTCTCTTCTCGTCTATGACTCCAGAGGCAACCAGGCAAGGAATGATGTATCTGTCAAACCGCTCGTTGAAGCTCCGCACCAGGGAGAGGTGAGCTGCAATATATTCTTCTGAACTAGAGAGGGACCAAAGAGAAACTTTTCTGCCCTGAGGTCTAGTTGACCCAAGCAGCCCCACGCTTTTCGCCCCAGAGCCCAAAACTATACACATAATAAAAGTGAAAATATGGATGGATATGTGTGGATGGAGTGCCCACGAATACACACAGACAGGCTCCCACTTCCATGAATAGTGGAAGAAGATGCAGGTCAAGAAGAGGGCTCCACAGCCACCTCGAGACTCACAAGAATTCTGATCCTGGAAGACTAGCCTACTCAGACAAAGTAAGTAAGTAAGTAAGGAAGGAAGGAAGGAAGTCCATGAATAGCTAAGCTCCCTTACTTACTTAGGCGATTCTTCCTTGTCTGAGTAGGGTTTTCTTCCAAGATCGGTGTCCTGGCAATCAGTGTAGGTGATGGTGGAGCCCTCTTCTTGACCTGCATCTTCTCCCGCAGTGAGGGCATCGGTTTCCAGACTGAAGGCAATCCCAGTTGGGGTTGGCTTAACGCGCCTTCCACTTGGCATGTTTCTCTTTCACCCTCTCACTTGTGCCTCTTCAAATTCTACAGCACTGCTGGTCACAGCTGACCCCCAGCTGGAGCGCTCGCAGGCCAGGGCTTTCAAGTGTGTCTATGCCAGAGTTTGGCTTTGACCCCGTCTTTCAGGTTTTTTTCCTGTCCAACAACATTCCGTTTTCCATTCTTGAGTTCGGAGTAGAGTAACTGCTTTGGGAGATGATGGTCAGGCATCCGGGCAACGTGGCCGGTCCAGCGGACTTGATGGCGGAGGACCATCGCTTCAATGCTGGTGGTCTTTGCTTCTTCCAGCACATTGATATTTGTCTGCTTACCTTCCCAAGAGATTTGTAGAATTTTCCAAAGGCAGCGCTGATGGAATCGTTTTAGGAGATGCATGTGACGTCTGTAGACAGTCCACGTTTCACAGGCATAGAGCAGGGTTGGGAGGAGAATGGCTTTATAAACAAGCCCCTTGGTCTCCCTACGGATGTCCCGGTCCTCAAACACTCTCTGTTTCATTCAGAAAAATGCTGCACTCGCAGAGCTCAGGCGGTGTTGCATTTCAGTGTCAATGTTGACTTTTGTGCAGAGGTGGCTGCCAAGGGAGCGGAAATGGTTCACATTTTCTAATGTTATGCCATTAAGCTGTATTTCTGGCACTACTCGGGAAACACCAATAGTCCTCCTTCCAATGACATTGCCAGTTATAGCGAGAGCTGTGAACATGCCCAAAAGCCCTGTCAATGTCCTCCACCCAACGCCATACTGCCCACCACCCAAGTCAAGGCTTTCATACAGGGACAATTCCATCCTGGATTTCCTGGTTTTCCTCCACCACAGACATCCCAGTGCTTCTTACTCTCCTCATTAGTGTGGAATTGGCACACAGCAAACAGAGGAATTGATCGGCAGCTGAACATACTAGAGAAGTTTGGGGAGAATTCACCAGGATTTATAGGAGTTGTAGGTACTGGGATGTATAGTTCACCTGAAATCCAAGAGCACTCTGAACTCCACCAAAGAGGGAATTGGACCAACCTTGGCACACAGAGCCCCATTACCAGCAAAAAATACTGGAGGTCTTTGGGGAAAATTCACCTTGATTTGGGAGAGTTGTAGTTCACCTACATCCAGAGAGAACTGTGAATCCAAACACCAATGGATTTGGACCAAACTAGGCACACATACTTGATAATATGCCAAAATTGGATTACTGGAGGGGTTTGGGGGGAACTAACCTTCCTTTTTGGGAGTTGCAGTTCACCCACAACAAGAGTAACTGTGATCTCCACCGATGATGGACCTGGACCAAACCTGGCACACAGAACCCCCATGACTAACTGAACCTACTGGAGGGGTTTGAGGGGACTGACTTACTATATTGGGAGTTGTAGTTTACCATACAGGCAGAGCGCACACTGAACCCCACCGGGGATGCATCTAGAGCAAACTTGCTCAGCATAACAAACTTTTAAGTACTGACTGAGTTCCTCAGGGTTAACCTGGCATGGTGGGAGTTGTAGTTCACCCACCTTGTACAATTGAAAACTGACTTTTACCAAGCTAGTAAAATAATAAAATAGTAATGGTAAGGTAGTACGGGACACTTGTTGAAGAAGTAAAGCCCACAATGTTTTTTTTCCCCCATACGTACTTTGGAGATATGTCCTCTGGGCTTGGCGGTTCAAATGGCTTGATGGCATACTTGTCCTTTGAAGGCTGACTGAGAAAGGACATGCTGGTCATCCTCCTCGCATCCTTCTTTCCTGCCAGAGCCTCCTCCTTCTTTCTCTGTGCAGGCAGGAAGCAAAAAGTAAAACGATACGAAATAATCTAACCCCAAAGCAATGGTGTGTCTGTACAGTGGGGCCTCGACTTAAAGAGTTTAATGTGTTCTGTAACTCAAGTCACTCTTATCTCAAAGCAATTTTGCCCATTGAAATACTATTAATTTGTCTCAGTCCTGCCGAAAACCACACCAATGTTATTGTTATGAGTTTTTGAATAAGAAAAATGTACCTAAATAACAAATAATGTATAGAAAGGTACTTTTGAGAAAACAAAAATCACCATAAGTTCCAGTGAATCTTCTGGGTCACAGAGTTGTGCCTCTGTTTGTAGTCTGTCTCTGCGATTTTCTTGCAACAGCTGAGGAGATAATCCATGGTTTCCTCAGCTTCCTTGCACAGTCTGCATTTTGGGTCATCTGTTGATTTTTCGATCCTGGCCTTAATGGCCTTGGTTCTGATGGCTTGCTCCTGGGCTGCAAGAACCAGGCCTTCTTCTGTCTCCTTCTTCAGGGTTCCATTCATGAGCCATCACCAGGTCTTCCCCTTGTCAACTTTTCCTTCAATCTTCTCAAGGAACTGCCCATGTCACGCTTTGTTTGGAGTGCAGTTTTCTTGTACGGACTCTTTGTCTGCTGTGCTTTGTACTGACATCAATTAAAGCAGGTTCTTGGCTTCCCTTGACATATTCTGCCAGGGCGTTTTTCTTCTTCAACTGCTTGTTTTACTTGTAAAAGTCCTCTGCCACCAGACCTTCTGTTGTTGTTGTTGTTATTATTATTATTTACAATTCTTATATTCTGCCCTTCTCACCCCAAAGGAATGTCTGCACGCCCCATCTCTCTCTGAAAACTCTATCCTAGTTCATATTTTATCTGTTCATGCTCAGCATTATTCTTAAATTTTAATTATTACATGTGGCCCAGCCATAGGTTTTAAATGTTGTTGTATTACTGCTATTGTTTATTGTTTATTTTTGTTATGAGTTTTATTTTATTGTCTTTATTAATCGTTGTTATTGCTTTATCATGTAAGCCGCACCGAGTCCCTCGGGAGATGGTAGCGGGTTATAAATAAAGATTATTATTATTATTATTATTATTATTATTATTATAAAGGGGACTCAGGGTGGATAAAAACATACATATGGTTATACAATGACAAGACAGACAGCAGACGGATATATATGTTGGGACTCAGCCTGTGCTTGAACCTGTGAATGTGTTTCAGTCTTCAGATGTTTCTGTGTCTGATGTGGAGAATGAGGAGGGAAGTCAGTCCCCTGTTGCTTCTGATGTGGGGGATGCTGGGACTAACTCTGAGGTGCAAGATGGAGACACTTTGGTCAATGAGTTTCATGCAGACACTGACAGAGAGGCTTCTGTGAAAAGGGCAGATTCTCATGAGAATCTTTCTGTCAGGCCTTGGGAGAAAGGTTTACTCCCTCCGCCTGTGAGCTCTCCAGATTCCAGTTTGGAAAACAGCCTGACACCTGGGAAAGTTAATGAGGAGTCAGATAAGCAGAGTCGGTGGCTGGAGATTAGCCAGAATCAACAAGAGGCCCAATGTTTACGTAGATCTGAAATAATTTGTCAATTAAGGTCAAAGACTGGAGGAAAACAAAACCAGTTTTTAGGATTTAAGGTTTGCCTTTAGAAAACCTTGTCAGATCAGGCATCGTTTGGAAACCAAGCACAAGCCTCATGGAATCCCTGTTCAAGTGGTCTCGTCTTCATGGTTTTTTCTAGCCTTTCAAGCTGACTAGCAGCGTCTGGTCTGTTCTTGCTTCTTGGTTGATTCCTGTCTGGATAATCAGTGCCTTGGATTGTATTTTCATGCTTTTGGAACACTGCTTTTGATTGCTACGTTTGGACACTGTTTTATCTTGTTGCCTTTGAATGCCTTATTGCTTATTGGAATCTTCTCTATCTTTACAAGCATTTATTTCTACTGGCTTTTTTGCTAAGCTTTAATAAAAAGGATTGTTCCTCCACTCAACATGTAGTGTGTTTATAGTCAGAGGGGCTATTTCAGTATATATATTATATAGGCTTTCCCATCTTTCATCATCTTTGGAGGCTGTGCTTGGTTCCGGTCACAGGGGGGTGCTGTCGCTCCATCTCCTTCCCAAAGAGTTTCCTCCTTTTTCTGATCGAAATGCCTTCCCTAAAACACCTCCCCGCTTTAATGCGGTTCCTATTTATCTACTCACATTTGCTTTCAAAATGCTAGGTTGACAGAAACTGGGATGAAAAATCAGGCTCTCACCCTGGCCCAGGCCTTGAACTATCAACCTTCTGATTGGAAAGATTTATTGCAGATTGGTGATTCACCTGCTGTGCTAAAGCCCAGCCCATGGAACCTCGAAGGATCTGCAATTGCACATTTCTAGACTGATCAAGTGCCCTGGTATTCCACCCTCATTTCATGTAAATCTGCCCTCCTCTTGAGGCTGTGCTTGCCTCTCAACACAAGGAGCCACATGTACAACCAATGTGCTCTGAAAACAAGCAACTCATGGGGAGGAAGAGACCTGTTGCAGTTCAGTCTGGGCCTGAGCTTTCTGAACCTGAGTTTCCTCAGGACGAGGAGGATGATGGGTTACAGATTTCTGAACATGTTCCTGTCAGTGAGTCAAATGAGGAAGACAGTGTTGATTCTGAAGAGGAGACGGCATTTCTGTTCTCTATAGAAAAGTATGTGGTTTCAGATAAAGATAGTGAAATTTCGGAGCTCCAGGTGGAGGCTCTTTCTGGGAGTGCCAGGCCTCTCGGTTCCCAGGGTGACGAAGATAATGAGCTAACCGGCCTTGAAGATAATAGTGGAGATTTGATTAGAGAGGACCGGTTGCAATTAAGAGTTTGAAGAAGCGCACGCCTTGCCAACGAGCGTGAAGCTAGAGGTCAACGTAATGCTTTTCTGTCAGGGAAACTTATTTAATGATTTGGTCGAAGGGCATTCTCTGTCAGTCCAATGTTGCTCTTACCCGGTTAACTTCTGTGGAATTACCTTGGCTTTTGTGGAAAGCTTCTGGCTTTTTGGGACTTTGATTTTGATCCTGTTTTTGGAGACTTTGTCTTGCTGCCATGGACTTTTGCTTAACCAATGCTGAAGGACTATGCTTCATGTTGTTTGCCTTTGGAACCTGGGAACTTTGCCTTTGCATTTAAGACTCTGTATTGCACATTGAATTATACTTTTTTATTTCCCTGTTTTGATTTTGCTTTTTCCCAATAAACTACAAAACCTACAGCCTTGGTGTGCGGTGGTGTCTTGGGCAAGGTGAATCTGTCCTGAGTTATGACATGTCCCCCCCCCCCCCACACACACACACACTGACCTGCAGTTCTAGTTCCCGAGCTCTCTTCTCCATCTGCGCTTTGGCTTCAGCCGCCTGGCACATCAAGTGAATGGCTTCCTGCCGGATGAGCTGGTCACACAAGACTGGATGGAAAGCAACATCAAGCAAGCACTTCTGGCATGGAGAGACCCACAAGAGAAAGAAACGTGTTTTTTGGGGGAGAAGAAATGTAGGATACACTCAGAAGATGAGAGCGAACACAAGGTTTGTCGTGCAGTAATTAGACGAATATCCTTCCCAGCCCAATAATCCTACACATCTCTTGAATCCTTTAGAATATTTGGGATTATAGTTTGAAATGTTGGTTTTTCTTGTCCCCATTTTTTTTTTTTTTTGGTGTCAGGAGCGTCTTGAGAAACTTGAGAGAGAATTGGCTGTCTGCAAGGACGTTGCCCAGGACACAGATGTTTTGATGTTTTACCATCCTTGTGGGGGGCTTATCTCATGTCCCCACATGAGGAGCTGGAGCTGACAGAGGGAGCTCATCCATGCTCTCCCCAGATTCAAGCCACTGACCTGTCAACCTTCAGTCCTCCCAGCACAAGAGTTTAACCCAGTGGTTCTCAACCTTCCTAATGCCGCGACCCCTTACTACAGTTCCTCATGTGGTAGTGACCCCCAACCACAACATTATTTTCGTTGCTACTTCATCACTGTTGTTTTCTTACTGTTGTGAATTGTAACGTAAATATCTGATACACAGGATGTATTTTCATTCACTGGACCACATTTGGCACAAATGCCTGATGCGCCCAAATTTGAATACTGGTGGGGTTTGGGTGTGTGTGTGTGATTTTGTCATTTGGGAGTTGTAGTTGCTGGGATGTATAGTTCACCTACAATCAAAGAGCATTCTGAACTCTACCAATGATGGAATTGAACCAAATGTGGCACATAGGACTCCCATGACCATCAGAAAACACTATAAGGGTTCGGTGGACATTGACCTCGAATTTGGGAGTTGTAGTTCACCTACATCCAGAGAGCACTGTGGACTCAAACAATGATGGATCTGGACCAAACTTGGCATGAATATTCCATATGCCCAAATATGAACACAGATGGAGTTTGGGGGAAATAGACCTTGACATTTGGGAATTGCAATTGCTGGGATTTATAGTTCGCCTACAATCAAAGAGCATTCTGAACCCCACCAACGACAGAATTGGGGCAAAATTCCCACACAGAACCTACATGACCAACAGAAAATTACTTAAGACCATCCAGTCCAACTCCCTTCACCAGGGCAAGAAAACGTCATCAGAGCCCTCCTGACAAAGAGCCATCCAGCCATAGATATAGATAGATGGATATGATTCACACACAGAGAGATATAGTATCATAGATTTGAAAGGGACCCCTAAAGAAGGACAATGATATGTTGCATGTTCCAGAGTAGGCAAACCAGACAAAGAAGCAGCAATAAATCAATTTTTTTTAGTGATGATCACTCCTTGGTTTAGTAAATGTCTTGTGGCCAAATTTGTTGGCAATTCGTCCAGTGGTTTTTGAGTTATGTTAATCTCACAAACGAACATTACATTTTTATTTATATAGACTAGCCATCCCCTGCCACACGTTGCTGTGGCCCACATGGGGGTTCTGTGTGGGAGGTTTGGCCCAATTCTATTGTTGGTGGGGTTCAGAATGCTCTGTGATTGTAGGTGAACTATAAATCCCAGCAACTACAACTCCCAAATGTCAAAATTCTATTTCCCCCAAACTCCACCAGTGTTCACATTTGGGCATATTGAGGATCCGTGCCAAGTTTGGTCCAGATCCATAATTGTTTGAGTCCACAGTGCTCTCTGGATGCAGGTGAACTACAACTCCCAAACTCAAGGTCAATGTCCACCAAACTCTTCCAGTATTTTCTGTTGGTCAAGGGAGTTCTGTGTGCCAAGTTTGGTTCTATTCCATCATTGGTGGAGTTCTGAATGCTTTTTGCTTGTAGGTGAACTATAAATCCCAGCAACTACAACTCCCAAATGACAAAATCAATTTTTTTGAGTGAAGGACATACATTGGGTTGTTAGGTGTCTTGTGTCCAAATTTCGTGTCAATTCGTCCAGTGCTTTTTGAGTTCTGTTAATCCCACAAACGAACATGACATTTTTATTTATACAGATACTACACCGCAGTGTCTTGTAAGCTGCCCCAAGTCCCTTTTAGGAGGTGGTGGTGGAATATAAATAAGGTTATTATTATTATTATTATTATTATTATTATTATTATTATTATTATTATTATTAGAAGCACAAGATGAGTCAGCAGCAAAGATTACTCTTTATTTATTTATTTACTTTATTTGTATACCGCAGTTTCTCAGCCCGTAGGTGACTCAACGCGGTTAACAACAGGAGCAAAAATTCAATGCTAACAACATACAAACTATTTAAAACAATTAACACCATAATATACTAAGTAATTATTATTATTATTAGAAACACAACAAGATGAGTCCACAGCAGACAAGATTACTCTGCTGCCTGTTGTACTTTATTGTTGTTGTTGTTGTTGATACCTTATTGTTTTTGTTTGCCCTACTTTTCCACTTACACTTTGAAATACGGTAAATATTCAAAAGACATTTCACCTACGGATGCCTCAATTAATGAAATTTTATTGCTATCCTTTTTTTATTTTGAAACTGAGCAGTAGCTGCTGCATTTCCTACCCTGGGCTTATATTGAAATCAATAAGTTTTACCAATAAGGGTGCTTCGGCTTCTATTTGGGTCGGCTTATACCCAAGTACATACGATATTTTTGCTCCTGCGTAAGAACGGATCCGATTCTTAAATATAGAGGCTGTACCTTCCCGGGCAGAACGGTGCCGACGCAAGGCATGATGGTTATGGGCGCGTCTTCCGGCACAAGGAACTGGAAGGAGATTGGTCCCACGGGAGCCACTTCTCCTGCCCCAATTCTCGGGCCCAAGTGGTTGAGCCGACTGAGTCGAACATGAGAATTGATAATAAAAAGAGTTGCGGAGGACACATCGTTCAGAGCGGTGGCGGAGAACTGAACCAAAGAATGCGAGAGCTCCAGAGGAGGGTGGACTCCAATCGCTTTGCACGACAGCTTGAATTGTCTAAAAATGGAAACACAGATGAGACGGTCACAGTACAGAACTCGGCCTCTTGACAAGGCTATAAATACGCATCGTGAGCTCGGTCTCCCATCAAGCCCACTCCCAAGGAAGAGGAGGTTTGATCCGCTCATCATTGGCTGGGTGTCAGCTCTGTAGCACAAGAAGGAGTGGAGAGGCAAGGGTTGAATGAAAAGTAATGCCTCCACCTTCGTTACTTGGGTTTGGATGGGAATAATTGTATAAATCAAACGCAGAAATAATCCTTAGAAGGTGCTCTTTAACTACCACTATTCCCTTTCCCACATAATCACCAGACAATTGGATACATGCCGATCCAGTTCCGAGCACAATTCAAAGTGCTGGTCTTGACCTACAAAACCCTATACGGCTCCGGCCCAGCGTACTTGTCCGAACGCATCTCCCTCTACGTCCCACCTCGGAGTTTGAGATCTTCTGGGGAGGCCCTGCTCTCGACCCCACCTCTATCACAAGTGAGATTGGTGGGGATGAGGAGCAGGGCCTTCTCAGTGGTGGCCCCTCGCCTGTGGAATTCACTCCCCGGGGAAATTAGGTCATCGACATCCCTCTTCTCTTTCAGAAGGAAATTAAAAACAGGGTTGTGGGACCATGCCTTTGGGTAATATGGCGGTTAGATAAGGACAATGACGACCAGAATCAATAGTACTTGACAATGTGGAATGAATTTACGGACTCTGAGATGGCGAACGCTGAGCATTAGATTGTTTTTATTGATTTTGATGTATATACTGACTGTCTTAATTGTTATAATTGCTGTTTACATGTTTTATCCATTGTTATGTTTATGCTGGCATCGAATTGTGCCTTTGTAAGCCGCCCTGAGTCCCCCCTCGGGGGTTGAGAAGGGCGGGGTAGAAATGCGCGAAATAAATAAATAAATAAATTTCTGCCAAGGATGAACAACCACTATTCTCTTTCCCACTTAATCATCAGACAATTGGATACATTTCTACCAAGGATGAACAACCACTATTCCCTTTTCCACACCTGTTGAGGAGTTACGAAGCTGGAGGCATTACTTTTCATTCAACCCTGGTATATACTGTACATACACACTGTATTTCTTCAATTGTAAGATACCATTGAGTATAAGATGCACCCTAATTTCAATACAACCGCCACCAACAAAAAAAGTAAGACACGCCTCCAATTCTAAAATGCACCCCATTTTTAGCGGTATTTGCGTAGTAATTAATCTCTTGTTTAAAGTGTTCAATAATATTGAATTTTACTTGGCTTCTAATTCTGCAAGAGCCAGTTTACCTGTCCGAACGTATCTCCCTCTACGAACCACCAAGGACATTAAGATAATCCTGGGAGGCCCTGCTCTCGGTCCCACCACATTCGCAGGCGCATCTGGTGGGAACGAGAGACAGGGCCTTCTCCGTGGTGGTTCCTCGGCTGTGGAACTCCCTCCTAAATGACATTACATCTGCCTGCTCTCTCCTAAGCTTTTGTAAAAAACTTAAAACCCGGCTGTGGGGTCAAGCCTTTGAACAATAGATGGAATAACTCGCCCTGCCAACCCTGTCCCCTCCGCCTCCAGAGTCAAGATATTTTCTGGGAGAATCTGTCTGACACCAACTGTGACGGCGCAACTGGTGCCATCTGTATGTAAAACTTAAGTTGCAAAGGTTTGAACTGTTGTAACATGTCCAGACTTGCCTGTTTACCTTGTAAATGTATGTTGCAATCCAGAGCAGAGAACGAGGCCTAAGATAACTATCCACCACACTTGGCTGTGAAAAACAATCCTTTTTTATTGAAGAAAAATGGTTACAAAATAAAGGAAAAATGCAAGTCAAAAGCCACAGCAAAATCAGCAAACATGAATTTAAATGGACAAAGCAAAACCAAAAGCCTCACTGGGAAATACTGGAATCTGTTAGCAATCCACTAACCGTACTTGATATCCTAGAAATCTTCCCAAACTATGGCCAGGGAACCGGGAGAACTGCCAAGGTCTTCATCAATTCTGAAACGATGCCTGAACTGAGACAATCAGCCCGGCGTATTGCAATTAAAACTCAAGAATCGGTTCCGTGAACCGCCCTTCTGTTTTGAAGCCAATGTTTTTAATTCTTGAATTCGGGAGGATCGACGCAAACTGAGTGTTTTATTTCTGTCTTCCCAAATTTGGCCCCTTCTGTTGTCATTACAGTTAACAAGTGCAGAAGGGAGGGAAAGTTCAAGGTCTCCCTCTGCAACATTCTCATTAACACTGGTACTTTCATTTTCCAAATCTACAGAAGTTCCTTCCTCACTAATTTCAGGAACATTGGCATTTTCCAAACCTACAGCAGATTCTTCCTCACTAATTTCAGGAGCATTGGCATCAAAAGGTACATTTCCACTAGCATCAGTAATTATACTTTCATTAGCATCAGGAGGAACAAACAGAGAATCAGGTTCAAGTTCAAACTCAGGCTGAACCCCAACAATGTATAGTTGAAGTGATTGGTTATCTACAGCTGTCAATCAATGTTGTTAACATCAGTTGGCTTGCTCCCCCAACTCAATTGTTTGGCTCCACCCCTTCTTAGGGAGGAAAACAACACTTTCGTTTCCTTCTTACCTCAAAAAAAAAAAAAAAACCTCAACAGTTGGATGTGCGAAAGGCTTGGCTCAAAACCCTTGGTCAAGTCATTTCTTGGCACCAATTCTCAAGTTTATACCCTTAGGATTCATACTTCATGCCCAGCTCATCTGGACGACGTTGAGGATTCTTAAGCGCCTTCAAACCAGTCCTTTGGCATCGAGAGGAAGACTTTGTGCCTTCAATATAGGCCATTAGACTGGGGTTGCGAGTGTTTCGACCTCATAGCCATTGAGAAAGAGGGAACCACTGGTCAGTGGACATCCCAGTCAAACAGACTTACATATTTTCACTTTTATTATGTGGACTGTACGGAAGCTACTCAACTGGAAAACTCCTTGGACCCAAGACAACCAGAGACTGTAATGTATATTTTCTTTACCCTTTTTGGAACATCAAGTTGAATGCCTCAGAAAGATAACTCTCTGTAAACAATAAAGCCTATTTCGAGTTATCTATAGTGTCTTGTTGATCCTCGAGAGTTCTAGTTCTCTAGAGGAAGGCAAGAAGCAATTCCCTGGGGAAAACTTGCCACGTCCTTGTTCTTTCACCAAAACTATAGCTCCCCAGTAGGCCTGGGTAACAACGAAAAAATTTGTTTCTAAAATCGATTCGTTTTTTGGGGGGTTTTGCTTTTCGTTATTTAAAATAATTACAAAATTTTCCTTTAAAAAAGTTCGATATTTACGAAATTTCGTAAATGTGAAAAAAATTACAAACAATAACGAATCGATTTCGAAACAATAACGAATCGATTCGTTAATGGCGGACGCGACGAGCAATACGCTAAAAAACCTCCAAATGGGACAGGGGGAACTTCTGAAGCTTAATTAAACCAAAAACAACTATAAAAACCCTTAGAAAACCAAAAACAACTATAAAACTTGCCCCAGACATGCGGAAATAATAACGAAACGACCTCAAAACGATAACGAAACGAATACAATAACGAAATACAAAACATTTACGAAACGATTTAAAAATTCGTTTTTTTTAAAAATTGCTCCAGACTGGTTCGTTATCGTTTTGTAATTGAAAAATTAACGAATTTTTTAACGAATTACGAGTTAACGAAACGAAACCGCCCAGCCCTACTCCCCAGGCAGCGACGGCATACCATTGCCCATGGCGCAGGTGGAGGGAGTGAGGGAGGGAGACCTCGCCAGAGTAAGAAGGAGGCGTGGACGGGAGAAGAGAAGCCGGTTCGTCGAAGGTAGTGGTGCTTCCCTTGCTCTCGGTGGCGGCCTCCTCCTCTTTCCCCGACAGCAACACCTCAGCGCCCTCCCTCCGCCAGCGCCGATCAATGGCCCGCCAATAAATTCATATTTATTAAAAAAATACATTAAAAAACCGCGAAACAGCAAGTTTGCATAAAGCGAACCACGAAGCAGCGAGGGAACACTGTATACCTGTTGATCTCCGTTTTGCAGGTCAGATGGAAGCTGTATTCTTTTGCCTTCTTGGGTTTGAAGATGACATCCAGGCTCAAGCTTTCCAGGGGAAGGAGTACTCCAAATCCATCATTGGGCTGGACTTCGACAAACTTTCCAAAATCATACGAAAAAGGAAAACGAATGTGTTAAAGAACACTTTTTTTTTTTTTTGGAAAATTGGAAATATCTAAATCTTTCACTAATGGGGAGGATAAGTCAAGGTATACATTATTATTATTATTATTATTATTATTATTATTATTATTTAGGTAAAGGTTTTCCCCTGACGTGAAGTCCAGTCGTGTCTGACTCTGGGGATTGGCGCTCATTTCCATCTCTAAGCTGAAGAGCTGGCGTTGTCCATAGACACCTCCAAGGTCATGTGGCCAGCATGACTGCATGGAGCGCTGATACCTTCCCACCGGAGGATAGTAGTCATTAAAATGAATGTACATCCGAAGATGATATATTTATTCCAATCACTACCAAAACTCAGAAATATGCAGGTTTTTAAAACACGGAATAGAGATTAATAATAATAATAATAATAATAATAATAATAATAATAATAATAATAATTTTATACCTTTACTTATCCTCCCCATTAGTGAACAGGGGCGGCTCAACCATTACGCAAAGTAAGCATTTGCAGTATAGTCAATTTTGCGCAGGGGCGTCCTTGGGGGAAAATAGACCTTGACATATGCGAGTTGTAGTTACTGGGATGTATAGTTCACCTACAATCAAAGAGCATTCTGAACTCCACCAAGGATGGAACTGAACCAAATATGGCACACAGAACTCCCACGACGAACAGAAAATATATAGCAGTGATTGGTTGGGGGGGGGGGGGGGGGGGGGGGGGGGGGGGGGGGGGAGCAAAATACTGTTTACTTACCGTTGAAAATTACCTAGGGCCACCTCTGCCTGGGAAGGAATCCCACTGGAGCACTGCACCCAAAATACCCGGGAGTTATCCTAGACCATGTTCGGACTTACAAGAAACACTGCTTGAACATCAAGCAAAAAGTGACGCTAGAAACAATATCATACGAAAGCTGACTGGCACAACCTGGGGATCACAACCAGACACAGTGAAGGCATCTGCCCTCACGCTTTGCTACTCTGCTGCTGAGTAGGCATGCCCAGTGTGGAATACATCTGTTATAGAACTCCAATGTGCTGATAATCATCATCATCATCATCATCATCATCATCATCATCTTTATTTCTACTCTGCCACCATCTCCCCGATGGGGACTCGGAGCGGCTTACATGGGGCCAAGCCCGGACAACATAATACAGCAATAAAATCCAAGCATATACGACAGACAACAACATTATCAAAATGACATTAAAATAATAATAATAATAATAATAATAATAATAATAATAATAATAATAAATTTTATTTCTACCCCGCCACCATCTCCCAACAACAACATTATTAAAATGACATTAAAATAATAATAAAATAATAATAGTAATAATAAAATAAAAATTCCAATAGACACAATCACGATAGAGATGACACTGAGATGACTTATCTAAATGTGTATGGCAGAGGAAGAAACCAAGAGTTAAGTTCGTTAATCTAACGGATGAGAAAAAAAAAGAGAGGTGGCTTTGGACCATTATATTGTAATATTATTAGTAATATCACATGTAATATAAAATATATAATTGTAATATTGTACTATTATTATTACGAGTATTATATCGTATGACATTATAATATTATAATTTACCTCCTGGAGGTCCACAAAGCCAAACTCCTGGGGAAGGATGGACTTATTTGTTAGTGTAATTGTTGTCTGCACAGCTTCGAAGATGGAACAGTATCCAAAATCGACTTCAGTTGGGTTGATTTCCAAATCTGAGGTAGTCACAATTGCATGAACAGTAAACTGAACTTGCTTCCTCTGGAAAAAAAAAACCAATGGGAACATCAAAGAGTTGGAATATGATGGAAAATAATCCGACTCAAATCCCTAATCTATCGAGGAGGTCCATTTGGTCACGTAGGATCAGTCCATTCTCTCAGCTAACTTTATTTTATTTTATTGTTGAGCAATAAAACAGGAACATCAAGCACGCTTGCCTTGAGTTTCACTAAAAATTGGCTTGGGCAAATCCTATGTGTTACTGTTTATATGTGAGTTATATTAATTGTACTGTTTTATTTGCTTGCTGTTTTGTTTTTACGGATGTTTTGTTGGGCTTGGCCTCATGTAAGCTGCCCCGAGTCCCCTTGGGGAGATGGTGGGGTATAAATAAAGTATTATTATTATTATTATTATTATTATTACTATTATTATATGTTCAGTGCCCCAATTAGGAAAGCCGATGAACAACTGCACTGCATCCTGTCAGATCCCTAAAATCTGGAGGAAAACAAGAGTCATCGCCATTCTGAAACCAGGCAAAGACTGCAACGATCCAAAAAGTTATAGAGTAATCTCCTTGTTATGCCATCTTTTCAAAGTTCTGGAGATACTTATTTTGCATAAAATTATGGAAAATAGACCCATGTATGATTCCACAGCAAGCTGGTTTCAGGAAAGGCAAAAGCTGCACATCACTGACCTGTTCTGAAACTGTGATCGTGACGGGGACTTCCAGGACTCTTGTTTTTTCATCAAAATATTTGCCTGCATCTTCTGGAAGAGACTGCCTGAAACAGAATATTATGACACGAACGGATTCTCCCCTATGAACCATCAAGGTTGTTAAGATCTTCTGGAGGGGCCCTGCTCTCGGTCCCACCACCCTCGCAATCGCGCCTGGTGGGGATGAGGGACAGGGCCTTCTCGGTGGTGGCCCCTCGGCTCTGGAACTCTCTCCCATTGGAGATTAGAACTGCCCCTTCTCTCCTGACCTTTAGAAAGTTGGTGAAAACCTGGCTCTGGAATCTGGCATTTGATGAGTGAGTCAATAACTCTGGATTACACGGACGGATGTTGATGAATTGTGATTTTATTCTGACGACTTGGCCTTATGTAATTATATGATTGTATTTTAATGTGTTTTATATTAGTATTTTATAGGATGTGATGTTTTAACTATTGTGTATGAATTCCTCTGTTGTAAACCGGCCTGAGTCCCTCGTCAGAGGTAAGAAGACCGGTATACAAAAGTTTTACATAAATAAATAAATATTGTGAAAGACCTAAGAAGACGTACTGAGAGGATACGACGGGTAGAGAGTGCAAAACCAGAAATGCTGGACCACTCTCACAACCACCATGCCAGGCTACACAGAGAAGCCACTGAAATCCACAAGCATGTGTGCAATTTCAACAGAAAGGAAGAAACCATGAAAATGAACAACATCTGGCTACCAGTATTTAAAAAAGAACCTCTAAAATCAGGACAGTAAATAAAGAGCAACACTCTTTGTGATGTATTGTCGAAGGCTTTCATGGCTGGAATCACTAGGTTCTTGTGGGTTTTTTCGGGCTATAGGGCCATGTTCTAGAGGCATTTTCTCCTGACATTTCGCCTGCATGTATGGCAAGCATCCTCAGAGGTAGTGAGGTCTGTTGGAATTAGGACAATGGGTTTATATATCTGTGGAATGGGGCAAAGAAGCTCTCTGCTGGAGCTAGGTGTGAATGTTTCAGCTGACCACCTTCATTAGCATTTGAAGGCCTGGCTGAACCTGGGGCAATCTTTTGTTGAGAGGTGTTAAGCTGTGCCTGATTGTTTCCTCTCTGCTGTTTTGCTGTTGTAATTTTAGAGTTTTTTAATACTGGTAGCCAGATTTGAAATCCACAAGCATGTGGACAATTTCAACAGAAAGGAAGAGACCATGAAAATGAACAAAATCTGGCTACCAGTATTAAAAAAAACACTAAAATTACAACAGCAAAACAGCAGAGAGGAATCAACCAGGCACATCTTAACACCTCTCAACAAAAGATTTTCCCAGGCTCAGCCAGGCCTTCAAATGCTAATGAAGGTGGTCAGTTGAAACACACCTAGCTCCAGCAGAGAAGAGCTCTTTGCCCCACCCCAGCCATTCCACAGATATATACACCCATTGTCCTACTTCCAACAGACCTCACTACCTCTGAGGATGCTTGCCATAGATGCAGGCGAAACGTCAGGAAATGCCTCTAGAACATGGCCCTATAGCCCGAAAAAACCCACAAGAACCTACTCTTTGTGATTTTTGTATGCTGCCCTTCTCAATCCCGAAGGGGACTCAGGACGGTTCACAGTGCTGGCAACAATTCAATGCCATCGATAAAAACAGTATAAAACATTAAAATTGACCTCCCCTAATAAAACATTAAACATTATTAAACACATCACATAAAATAACATCACCTATCACACAGAGACATAGCCGTTGTTGTAAACTGTCCTGGGTCATTGCACTTTCAACTTTCTCTTTACTTGAAATACTCCCATGATGGGCCCAACGCTTGGTTCCACAGCCAGGTCTTTAGATGCCTCCTAAAGGTCAGGAAGGAGGGAGAGAAACTCCTAACTTTTAGAAGTAAGGAGGTATGGCCTGTGCTAAGTTGTACCAGTCTCTGGAATGTATACATAACATGACCCCTTCTCCTCCCCTTTTCAACACAGATCTCCTTCAGCATTCCTTCCTGTCAGCTTGGCTTCCTAATACAGAGAGAACCTGGTTTTTCTATATTTCAGTGCTCCTAATGTATATACAATACATGTATAAATATTTCCAATATCTCCACATCACCAACAGACCTCACAACCTCTGAGGATGCCTGGCATAAATGCAGGCGAAACGTCAGGAGAAAATGCTTATGGAACAAACATGACCATATAAAGGGGCGGCTGAAGCAATAGGCAAGTTATGCATTTGCGTATAGCGCGAATCCCTGAGGGGCGCTCTAGAGGCACCTCCGGCTGCAGGGCTATGGTAATTTTCAATGGTAAGCAAACAGTATTTTGGTGCTCCCCCAAACCAATCACTGATATATATATTTTCTGTTCGTTGTGGGAGTTCTGTGTGCCATATTTGGTTCAATTCCATCATTGGTGGAGTTCAGAATGCTCTTGGATTGTAGGTGAACTATACATCCCAGTAACTACAACTCACAAGTGTCAATGTTTATCTACCCCAAACTCCACCTGTGTCCACATTTGGGCATATTAAGTATCTGTGCCAAGCTTGGTCCAGATCCATCATTGGTTGAGTCCACAGTGGTCTCTGGATGGAGGTGAACTACAACTCCAAAACTCAAGGTCAATGCCCACCAAAGCCTCCGGCATTTTCTGTTTGTCGTGGGAGTTCTGTGTGCCATATTTGGTTCAAGTCCATCATTGGTGGAGTTCAGAATGCTCTTTGATTGTAGGTGAACTATACATCCCAGTAACTACAACTCGCATATGTCAAGGTCTATTTTCCCCTAAGAGTGCCTCAAGAGCACCCCTGGGCAAAATCAACTCTACTGCAAGTGCTTACTTTGCGTAATGGGTTGAACCACCCGAGTCCGTGACATGCGAGTGTGGAGAAGAAGCCAACCACAGACGACTTACTACAATGCAGCCTGAGCCCTGCCACATGCACAATGGAGGACCTTCTTACAGCGACACCAGAGGCACTCCAGGAAATTTAGTATAATGCCAAATTTTTAACTTTGTTTGTGGTTTTTCTACAAATTATAACTGTATTCTCATTTCTGGCACGATAAATAAATAGTTTTGATTCATCTTTGTGCCCCATAATGGGATGGATGGGCGGGCACGCGGCCTTTAGAACATCGCCTCTCCGGAGATATGGGAGGGAGGTATCAAGTGTTTTAGGACTTAAAATAGAAAGAGCGCTCCGAAAATGATACCCTCTTTGTACTAATTTGGCTCCAGCCCACAAACTGGGTTTCTACTCGCAGGAGGCTCTGGCAAGCGCTGCGTACACATCCCTTCTCCCCGCTGGGTAATCAGGCCGAGGGGGATCGTTGCAAAGGCTCTTCTCGCCGCCCGGCCTTCTTTCTGGAGCGGCATGGCTCTGCCGTCCCATTGATACTGACGCAGAGCAACTGGTAATTAATTACCATCAATGTCAAAAGAACAGATTGCCCAAGATGGGTCTCATCTGTGGTCCTGATTACAGCTGGGGTGGAGGAAGCTTACATCCTGATTACCGAGCGTTTTTCAAAAGCCCTATTTATAGCGCAATATTTTTGCGAGGAAAAGAGCAACGTATCAGTTAATGCTTTCTTAAAATGCTGGTAAATACCGCCCGGCCTTGTAATCAGCTCCCTTTAGTCATGCAAAACGAAAGCACTTATCAGGAGCATTAATGAGAATTAGAGGCAAAGAAACAGGGGCAGGAGAAGTCTTTAATGTCCCGCTTTGTTGTCTCCCACGTGGAATTGGCACTTTAAAATATTTTATCGCCCCGATTTGAACTAGTTCATAGGTTTGGGATGTTTTTATGCCCAATCCTTTTTACATGCCTTTGTGTGCTAGGCAAAATCTGTTGCCAAAGGCAAAAGAAGATGAACACATTTCCATGGGGCTTGTTTGGGCCAATGTTCCTCGAGCAAATATCTTTCATTTTATTGTCGAAGGCTTTCATGGCCGGGATCACTGGGTTGTTGTAGGTTTTTCCGGGCTATATGGCCATGTTCTGGAGGCAATTTTTCTCCTGACGTTTCGCCTGCATCTATGGCAAGCATCCTCAGAGGTAGTGAGGTCTGTTGGAAGTAGGAAAAATGGGTTTATATATCTGTGGAATGACCAGGGTAATGTTTCAGCTGATCACCTTGATTTGCATTCAATGGCCTGGAAGCGCCTGGGGGGAATCTCTTGTTGAGAGTGATTTTATGTGCCTGTTTGTTTCCCCTCTGTTGTTTTGCTGTTGCATACATCAAGGGAACCACTGACCGCATAGGGAAGCTGATGAGGAAACACAACATACAAACAATCTACAGACCCACCAAGAAATCCAACAAATGCTCCGTTCAGCAAAGGACAAGAGGGATCCTCTCACCTCTGCAGGAGTCTACCGTGTACCATGCAGCTGTGGACAAGTCTACATAGGGACCACCAAATGCAGCAGCATTGCCCAAACACGAATCAAGGAACATGAAAGGCACTGCAGACTACTTCAACCAGAGAAGTCAGCCATAGCAGAGCACCTGATGAACCAACCTGGACACAGCATATTATTTGAGAACACAGAAATGCTGGACCACTCTCACAACCACCATGTCAGACTACACAGAGAAGCCATTGAAATCCATAAGCATGTGGACAATTTCAACAGAAAGGAGGAAACCATGAAAATGAACAAAATCTGGCTACCAGTATTTTAAAACTCTAAAATTACAACAGCAAAACAATCAGGGAAACAATCAGGGACATCTAATCACCTCTCAACAAAAGATTGCCCCAGGCACTGCCAGGCCATCAAATGCTAATCAAGGTGCCCCAACAGACAGGGGTCCTTTGTCTCACCCTGGTCATTCCACAGATATATAAACCCATTTTTCCTACTTCCAACAGACCTCACTACCACTGAGGATGCTTGCCATAAATGCAGGCAAAACGTCAGGAGAAAAATTGCCTCCAGAACATGGCCATATAGCCCGGAAAAACCTACAACAACCCATGTTTCATTTTATTTGGGACCTTCGTTGAGGCCGCTCCCACATTCTTATAAATGGGACAGAGATTTATCTGGAGTCA